TTGTGTTTTTGGACAATCTCTTGGTAAGATGCAGGAGACCTATAGGACTCTCTCCTAAGCATAAGTGGTAGGAGAGCCAACGAGGCAGTAGCCCTCACTGAGCAGCAGAACTTTGGTGGGTTTGCAGGAAGGAACTGGCAAGTAGTTGTGAAATGCTCAGCTCAGAACTGCAAGGTCACCAACCACTCTTTGGAAGAAAGACCATCTTTTCTACTCCCATACAGAGTTGTAGTCACAGAAACTCACAGGGGAAGCTCTACCCTGCCCTGTAGGGTTTCTACGAGTCAGAACCAACTCAATGGCAGTGAGTTGTGTTTGTTGGGGGTGGTGGGGGTGGTTAGGTAGACACCTTGGAAGAAAGGCCTGGCAATCCACTACCAAAAACCCAGCCATTGAAAACACTGTGAAGCACAGTTCTACTCCAACACAGATGGATCGCCCTGGTCAAAATCCACTCCACGGCCACTGGAGTCACCTTAGTACACTTCCAGGCGCAAAAACAAGAACAGGGGGATGTGGGCCACGCGTGTGACCATGCCACGTTTTGCTGCGATGTCTCCAGGCAGAGAGAAGCCATGCTCTCAGCTGTGCACGCAGTACATCTCAGGTGCCAGCAGGCGCCCAGCTCCGGATCTGCTCTTTGCCCGCCGCCTTCGGCGTTCGCAGGGTGACAGTGGTACAGTGCTGAGCATGGCCTCAAGGAGTCTGCCCGGCACCGCATCAACATGGCAGTGCACATGCTGGCCTTTGACAGTACCCGTGGCTGCACGCCCCTCCTGGGCTTCCTTCTAGCCAGAGCCACCGCCTGGTAGGTGGGAGTCCTGGAGTGAGCCGGTGGCTTGGGCAAAATGAGCTGGGTGGTGAAAACCTGCGTGCAGATGCTCACAGTCCGATGCCCCCCTCACTGCCCCGGCCCCCAGTGTGTGGCAAGAGGGGATCCCACTGGATGGTACCCAAGGCCAGGGCGCTCCTGGGCGATGTTCCGGGGCTAGTAGGCCCTGGCCTGCCCCATAGTCTCACTGTGGGAGCGGGCAGGGCCCAGCAAGCTTCCCCGTAACCTTGCCTTGGCCCCTGAAGCCTGAACAGCTGTGGCCCATCAGGCTGAGATAAATCGTCTGGCTACCCCACCCCCACCCCCCACCCCGTGATCCCAGCAGATGCATTTTGTACAAAAGGAAAAGTCAACGCGGACGCCGTCTCTGATTCCCAATAATGCGGGACTCTCAATGCTGATGATAATTAGTTCTTGCCTCTCCACCCAGCCGGGTTCTTACCAGGAAGGGCCTGTGGGAATCAATACGGAGGCGGCAGGCTAGGCTGGGCCATTCGTCTCCATGCAGTTAAGGCCTCAGAGCTGGCAGGCTTCGATGGGGCTTGTTTCTGTCCCTGTGACTGTCCCCTCAGCCTGCATGCGTGCTGCACACTGAGCAGAGTGGGTTGCATGCATGGCAGGGCATGCGAGCGTGCCCCACTGAGCCCCAGGCCCGGCAAGTCGGAGGAAACCTGAGCAGCTGTGTGCATTCACTTTCAAATGTTTCCTCCGTACAGCCCAGACTCACTGCCAGCAAGTCCCCTCAGACTCAAAGCAATGCAGGGTTCATGGGAGCAGGCAGCCTCGTCTTTCTCCCCCGGAGCAGCTGGTGGGTTCGAACCACTGACTTTGCAGTGAGCAGCGTAACACCTAATCCACGGCACCACTTGGGATCTGCAGTGCCACTGGGATAATGATTTAACTTGCCCGGTTCTTACCGTGGCTTATTTATCAAAACTAGTAATGTGCTGCCTAAGCTCTACTGTTGCAATCCCTCCTTCTCAAGCCCTGGGGCGGTTGCAGAAAGAGAAATCCCGGCGCAAGGACCCGGGCAACAGGAGACTTGACTCTTTAGCCCCTCAATCCTCCCCTGCCCCCAAGTCAAACAAACCAGTCCGTAGGTGGCAGAGCAGAGCTGCTTCAGATCACCAGGCCTTTCTGTCACAGCACTGCTGCTCCTCAGTCCTCTGGCTAGTCAAGCACACCTTGTTGGACCACCCAGGCCCCTCCCCCAGCCCAAGGCCAGGGGGCTGCGATGCTGGAGACCCTCCCCTGGATGCTATGGGGTGCAGTAAACCTAGGTAGGCGGTTCTGGTCTTCCGGGAGGGAGGAGCTTCGGGCCCCTTAGGCAGGAACTGCAGGGGCAATGGTAAGAGTGAAACCCACCACAGGTGTGAAGGATTCCCTAAACGTGGGGGTGGCTCCGCCCCGATTCTCTGGTAGATGAGAAAAACCAAAAGTGCCCTAGGGAGAGGGGACTCCTTCAGGTCTTCCCCCTGGGAAGCCTCCTGGAAGTAAGGGGGGGGGGGACGGGGGAGCACTGCAGGGAGGAACGAGTAAGAGGAAACAGGCAAGAGGAAGCAGATGTTTGTGTCATTGGAAAGTAGAGAGTGATTGTTCTCCTCTCTGGGGGATGGGCAGCAGAAGGGTGGGTGAAGGGAGACGCCGGACAGTGTAAGATAAGATACAATAATACTTTATAAATTATCAAGGGTTCATGAGGGAGGGGGGAGCAGGGAGGGAGGGGGAGGGGAAAAAGGAAAATGAGCTAATTCCAGGAACCCGAGCAGAAAGCGAATTTTGAGAATGATGAGGGCAACGAATGTATAAGTGTGCTTTACACAATTGATGTATGTATGGATTGTGATGAATTGTATGAGCCCCAATAAAATGATTTTAAAAAAACTTCCAAAAAGGGGCAGGGAAGTCTTATAGGCGTCCTATTTATTCAAGGTGACCTGGGCTGGCCGAAAAGAATGCTCAGGGCTCTGTGGCCCCAGGAAAGGGACATGCCTGCAAGAGGCATCAGAGCAGGGAGAGCGGGCCCTGCCACCCTTTTAGCTTCAACAGCCATCGGGCCGCCAGGTAAAAAAAGACAACAAATGGGACAGGGGGTGTCTTCAAGAATACCTTTCCTGGAAAGACCCAAAGCAAGGCCCTCCCTCGGCCCTCCTTTCACAGAAGGGGGCCAAAGGAGCAAGTGACACCAGATGAGCCAGGCCAGGTTGGTCAAATGAATCCATCCCAGAGAGGAGAAGGCTGCTTTCCGGTTGAAGAGGTGGGGGAGCCTGGAAAGGATGGGATGAAAGAGGCTTTGCTCCGTCCCCTTCGCCCCGCTGGGTCCGAGGTGACTGTGTGGGGGCAACCTCAGACCTCCTCCTCCCCCTCCTCCAACTTCACAAGGGAGCAGAGGCTCAAACTCCACAGAAGCCCAAGGCTGGTGAGAGTCACCACGCTGGGGTTTAGTAGGGCACTAGCTGTCACTGTTAGGTGCCACCGAGTCCATTCCAATCCATAGCGACCTTCTGCACAACAAAGCCAAACGCTGCCCGCCTGCGCCGTCTGCACAATTCTTTGCATCCTGAGCCCGTTGCTGGCAGTCACGGTGTCAGGCCATCTCATGGAGGGCCTTCCCCTGACCTCCCCTCCACTTTACCAAGCAGGCTGGCCTTCTCCAGGGACTGGTGTCTCCTGGCAACATGTCCACAGTCTGTACAACAGAATCTCACCATCCTTGCCTTTAAGGAGCACTCTGGATGTACTTCTTCCAAGACAGGTTCCAATTCAGGGTCAGAGATGTTCAGAATAGAGTTCTTCCGTCTAGACCAGTGGTTCTCAACCTTCCTAATACTGCGACCCTTTACTACAGTTCCTCATGTGCTGGTGACCCACCCTCCCACCATAAAATTATATCTACTGCTACTTCATAACTGTAACTTTGCTACTGTTATGAATCGGGCGACTCCTGTGGATGGGTCGTTCAACCCCCAAAGGGGTCGCAACCCACAGGTTGAGAACCGCTGGTCTAGACAGTCTTTTCTCGCCTGTGCCGGGAGGCAGGCCTGGCCTCTACACTATAAACCTCAACCTGGAGGCACTCCGCGCTAGCTCCCCCATGATAGTGCCCTCCTTTCTGCAAACTCATCTCGCCTGGGGGACATGGCTTTTCCCACGCTCTAGGCCGGGATGCCCCACTCTGTCCCAGCTCTGGTTCTTGATTCTGCTGCTGCTGCTGTTCTGCCACTCCCTGGAGGGAGGACTTTCAGTTCGCAGGGCCTCGGGGTCCAGAGGCTTCTCTCCACTCCACACTCGTCTTCCTTGAGAGCGGTGACATTCCCCGGGCTGCTTCTGTGATGGCTCATTTCATTCCCAGGATATCAAACTGGCCGACTCGCATGGTGCACTTCCAAAATTCTACAATCGCCATGAACTCTGTTGATAATCACTCACAACTGAATCCTCCAATCTTTCGAGCATCTTCCCTCACCATCTCTTGCCCAGACCCATCAGGGAAAAGTTGTTTGATGGGCATTCAAGACTCAAAAGACAAAGGCTAGAAACACCCGCCTGGGCGTGGTAGGCTGCTATTTGTGCAGGTATTTACCTTTGCAGCCCCCTGGATCGTTCCAGCAATCCCCTGAGGGGCAGGGTCACCCACTTAGGGAAACACGTGACTCACTCCATACTCAGAAACTACTCTCGGGTCCGACAAGGTGATTGTCCCCCTAGTGCAGGCCGGGGAACCATGCAGCGACCGACAGGCTAAGACGCTCAGGTGAGAGCCCAGGGCAGGCTCTGCCACCTCCTTACTGTGTGTGAGCATGTCACTTCCCACCACGGTGACAAGGCTGTACGTGCTGTGTCCCGCGCCTGGCTGCCCCGCACCCTGGGTGCGCTGTATGTGCTTACAAAAACCTCACCGTCCCCGGAGCTGAGCTCGCTGGAGCACCACCCTGCAGACTGAGGCTGCCACGCTGTCAGGCAGGCTGTGTGCTTCGGTAAGGGTTTAGTCTCAGAAGCCGTAGGGTCGTTTGGGGTGATTTTGGGCAACGACAGGAACGCCGCCCTCTTCCTCACCGGCACGAAGCGGATGCGGACGGATGTCCATCGGCCGAGCTGGGAGGTGCAGGGGCCCAGGGCCAGGGAAGTGAGGCCGTGTCACGTCGTCTCCTCTCTGTCTCTGTTGCAGCTGGTGAGCGACTTGCTGGAGTTCTGCTTCTACACCTTCCGCGAGTCCAAGGCCCTGAAGGTGGAGTTCCCGGCCATGTTGGTGGAGATCATCAGTGACCAGCTGCCCAAGGTGGAATCCGGCAACGCCAAGCCCCTCTACTTCCACAGGAAGTGACAGGCCCGTCCGCACGGAAGAACTTTGCCTTAAGTTTCCCCGTGGGGCTCCCCACGAACCCCCATTTCTCACCTGCGGTGATTGCGGCCCCTTGCTCAGCAGTTCCCGTCAAGGGCACGGCGGCGGCATCTGGAAAGCACGGATGGACGGACGGACGTGGGCTTGGCCCGGCCGGAGCCGCTGGAGGCTCCTTCCCTCCCTCCCAGCGCGTCGGGATGCCCCGCTCCCCTGGATGAAAAGCCATATCTAGTCACTAACTCTGATTTTGATACTTTAACCGACGGGAGGTGTAACTCTGCCAGGTGGTTTCTGGTATCGTTTGCTTGTTTTACAAAGGGGTCAAGGACTAAGGAACTGTTCAAAGCTTACCCTTGGTTTGCACATAAAACGTATAGTCAACACGGGGCATTAGTATTCTTTTATTTAAAACACACAGAGAAGGAGGGAAAAAAAGAAAACCTGTATACAGATTCCTGCTGTGTCCTAATGGAACGTGCAGTGCGGGGTCTCGGCCCCGACCCCTGGGGCTGTCGCCACCCCCAACCCCTGCTTCCCTGGTGTCCACACCCCTTAGTGCCCACCTATTATTTAACTAGTATGGATAAGATGTTAAAACAAATGCCTTGGTTTAAGTTTCTAGTATCTATTGTGTTGGCTTTACAGATAATTTCTTCTGCAGTCTTTTGCTGTGCTGTACATTACTGTCTGTATAAATGGTGAGGGGCCTGAAATACAGTGTAAGGGACTTTTGTAAACGAGACACATACAGCTAAAACAAATCTTTAATGGTTATAGGATGAATGGGAAAGTATTTTTGAAAGAATTCTATTTTGCTGGAGACTATTTAAGTACACTATCTTTGTCTAAACAAACAAGGTAATTTTTTTTGTAAAGTGACATGTTCTGCATGCATAATGAACCGTTTACAGTGTATTTAAGAAAGGGAAAGCTGTGCCTTTTTTAGCTTCATATCTAATTTACCATTTTACAGTCTGTTGTAAATAACCATGTGTAAACCTCTTTGGTTGTCTTTAAGCCTTTCTACTTTTTCTGTACTTCTGTTTTCCCCTGGGGCGTCCCCTGGGGATGTCCGGGGGGTGGGACGCCTCGGCTTCCGCTTCATCCGGCTTCCGGGGGGCAGCACGCTGCCGCCTCTGCAGCTCCTGACCGGGGTCACATGGCAGAACACGCGTGTCAGAGGACGGCCCGGAAGTGCTGCACGCAGCTGTGGGAGGGCCACCCTTCTCCTCCGGAAGCCGAAATCAGCTGACAACAGCAGGGCTTGGGAGCTCAGTCGGGCAGAGTGAGAGTCATGTTATTTTTGCCTCCTTTGTGAGGAGGGGCGAGGGGGGCAATCCCATGCACTTTTTCTCTGCCGAGGGACGATCACCTTTCCCTTCGGGTCTTGGGAAGGGTTTGGGCACTCCTGGAAGTGGCGATGGGAACACGCTGAGATCACTGCAGGACCGACCAGATGAGGGCCGGCCCATTGGCAAGCTTCAGTCAGCAGGGTGGCGACCAGAAGACAAGTAGAGGGTTTTTAGAATTTTTAAAAGGTAGGTTTTAAAAAGAAATTTTATACGTAAACCGTTTTGAAAAAAGTAAAAAAAAAAAAGGCAAAACAAAAACACACTACAGATCACACAAGCAAGACAGTGGCACTAAAATGTTTAATTCATTAATCTGTTCAGCACTGATGCAAACTGCTGGCTTTTCTCCTGCCCCAGATCACAGTGCTGTCTGGCTCTGGGGACGCCAATATGATTGCACTAAATAAACTTCCTGGAATAGAGGGTACGTGAATCTCTGACAAGCAATGATCGAAATCGAGTACGCAGTGAGATCACACGCTTTTCCATAGGCGGGAGTTGGCGGGGCCGGGCCGGGAGCGGGCGTGCAGACGACCACTTCTCTCCGGGTTCGCCATGCAGGCAACATTACCTTGTCTTTCCAAAGACACCTGCCTTCTGCAAGGGGGACCTGGGAACTGGACTCCGAGGGGCGGGCGTGTTTTTCATACATAATTTGCGATGTCCGGAATTTAATTTCTAGGCAGATCTTTCCAACATCGTCAACTTACACACAGCAATACGAAGCCATGTGTTGAAGGTGAACAAGACACCACGCAGAAGGGTAGTTTCTGGGCCGGAAAAAGGCTAACAAATGCGGCTTTTGGGGCACACGCGCCTCATGGAATGGGAATTTCGCCAGAGCTGGGTTGGGGATTGAGATGGTATGCGTCAGCCTTTTGTATTAACAAAGTTACTGGCCCTTCATGTGTCTCCAGGGAACTCTGCTTGGTGAAACAGCAAAGCCATATTCTAAGTTCACTGTTGAATGCCTGTGTCCCAGTTCAAATCGTCTGTCTGCTCTTATTTTTGTGCCATATTGCTCTGACAGATCTTGGTTTGGTACAATTCATGATTCACCAAAACTTCTTCATATAATTAAAAGAACACACTAAATTAGTTTAAAATGAAGCAATTTATATCTTTATGCAAAAACATTATGTCTGTCTTTGCAAAGGACTGTAAGCGGATTACAATAAATCCTTTACTTTAATCACCGGTTGTTTGGGAACCCGTTCATTTGATTGTCGGTAGCAACGCTGGGATTCCCTGTCCTTCCACACCTTGAGTCTGGGCGATTCTGCCGACATACAGCTGGGTGCTTCCCGTGTTAGGGCCCTGCCTTTGCCATATGTGGATTCTGCTCCCTTTAGGCGCATGACATGCTTTGTTTCTCCTGCTGAAAACTTGTTCACGGGGCCTTGCTGACACAGTGGTTAAGTGATGGCTACTAACCCAAAAGTTGGTGGTTCAAACCCACCCACTGACTCTAGTGATGTGCTCCCCAAATGAGGACGGCCTGGGAGGCCATCTGTGACAGTTCTACCTGTCATGGGATGGCTTATGAGTTAAAGAACTCCAGGGCACCTAAGAACAATTCTGGGTTACTAAAATACCCTGTGGCTGTTCAGCAGTGACAACTGCTACCAAGTCTATGTCCACAGCCCAAACTCACTGCCGTGGGTGTATGCCCACTCACAGCGGCCCTGGAGGGCAGGGCAGAACTGCTCCTGAGGGTTTCTGACGCGGGAACTCTTCATGGGAGCAGGAGGTCTCCTTTCTCCTGCAGAGCGGCTGGTGGTTCCAAACTGCTGACCATGTGATTAGCAGCCCAACGTGGAGCCGGTACGCCACCAGGGCACCTAAAACTGATACGAACGCTGTCTATTTTATCTCCACAACCCCAGAACTCATGTCACCCATTTATAGAAGAAACAGACTATAAGGCTCATAGCCCTCCCCTGACTCCGGAGTTCACCCGAAGGGGCAGGACTCACGCAGTGCCCACTGGTGGGCTGCGTCTCACCCTCCTCACAGGCTCCTCTTCCCCGTCAACTGCACTCAGTCATACAGGCCGCAGGGGGTGGGGGGTGGGGGTGGGGGAGGCACACAATTATCAGCGCACACAAAAAGAGAAAAAAATCATTCCCATAAGGTAAATTCATACAATTGTAATGTGTCATGTCATTGGTGAGTGTTCGGGTTGCTTGCTTTTAGAATAAGGTGACCAGACGTCCCACTTTGGGCGGAGAGTCCCGATTTTTAACAATTTTTCCTGTGTCCTGCGGCGTTTTTAAAAAGTCCCGATTTTTGGAAAGAATGCACAACAAGCTAGGGTATACGGTTTTCGGCTGCCATGTGGCTATTTCGCCAGGATATGAGTTTTATCAATGGTGTCCCGCTTTTGTCCCGCCTGCCCAATGTTAAAATCTGGTCACCTTATTCTAGAACCTACCAGATCATTCAATCCAAAATTGCTCCAGTGCAATAGATACACTCCCCGAATCCAGTGCAGGAAAACACGTGAAAACCGGCTGTTTTCCTGCTAGCAACTTTAAGGTGAGGCACGCGCATGTGTCTGTCTTGCTTTTCCCCGCTACACGTGAACATCATCTTGGATGGAAAATCTGAAGACATCTGACCCACCAAATGGCAGGGGTTTCACACACACTGATTCTGAGCAGAAGCCACGGAGGCTGGCAGGGGACTGCTTGGTTTAAGTGGGTGCCCTTTCTGATTATAAAACCAAACCCACTGCCATCCCATCGAGTTGGGTTTGATTCACAGGGACTCTCGATAGGGTTTCTGAGGCAGCCTGGTCTTTCACCCAAGGAGCAGCTAGAAGGTTTGAACCTCCGACTTGCAATGTGCAGTCGGATACACAGCTTACAGGGTCACTGGAGCGCCTTCTTCAGTCAGGGGTGTTATTAAGGGTACTTGTCATTTTATGTCTACAAATTGCTAAATGTGAGCTTGGGCCCCCCCAAATCCAGCTGCACACTTGGAACCACTAGCTAAGCAGGCGTCCCTGCCATTGAGGTAGGCATGGCATGGCATAAGCAGTAAACAAGCATGCATCATTAGGGGGTTGCTTGCTTCTGTGTGTTGAATGAGTCAGAAACAAACAGAAAACATCGTCCCCAAATGTTAAAGTCAGCCACAATACACATTTTTATAAATTGGGCCAGGGCACACAGATTAAAATGAGGCGATTACATGTATTTCTGGCATTTTTTTTTCAAGGCGTCCCGTTGCTAGTGCAGCAACTTTCTCAGAAACGAAACAGTGGCTTCCCACACAACACTGGCTAAGAGAAGATTCAAATATTTTCTTCATGGGCCAAGACTGTGCAGAGCAAATCACCCCTAAATTAATCAACTTACAATTTTTCACAAGTTTGTAAGTCATCCGGAGGTTTCTGCTTAACCAGCAAGATTCGGCTGAGTGGGGCTGCTTCACATGTTTGCAGCCAGCTAGCAGCTGTTGGGTCTCTGTTGGCCCTCCCCTCCAGCAGGCTAGCGTGGGCTTAACTCTCCTAAGGAAGGCAGTGGGAAAGAGCATTTTTTTCAAACCTCTAATTGGGTCGACTTTGGCCCTGTCTACTGGCCAAAGCCCAAGCCCAAGGCAGCGTGGGAAGGTGCTACAAAAGGGACTGGATTGAGAAAGAGTAAATGATTGGGACTATTGGTTCAATCCAACACAGGTACCTGCTCAGATTTTATTTTTTCGGTAGAATTTGGATTTCTAAAACAGTAGATTCTGTGTTACCTATGGTCTGAAAACCCCAGCTCTGGTTCTTCATGCCTTGGGACAGCCTGGGCCAAGGAGGACCATGGCTTCTATGAAAGTGACTTTTGCAAGGCCTAATTGTGCCCCTTCCACTTCCTGAGCTGTCCCTTCTACTGGAGCAACCGAGACACAGTCCATGGCCCTGACCTCTCACTGCCCACGTTCAAATGACAGGTCTCTCCTTGGGCACTAAACAGAAGTCAGCTTTCAGATCACGCCGATTCTCTGAAAGGCCTCCCTACGGCCATCAAGTCAATGCCAACTCAGCAAATAACCCTATGCAGGATTTCCCCAACTGAACATCTTTATGAGAGTAGGTTGCTTCATCTTTCCCTGACAGGGCAGCTGGTGGGTCTGAACCACTGGCCTTGCAGCTAGCAGTTCAAAGGTTCCCTGACAACATGAGCAGGGGTCTTCTAATACTTGCTTCTAACCTGTGGTTGCTGTTAGGGGTCATCGCGTGGGATCTGAGCCGTGACCCTCTGCCCAGTGGAACCGAACACTTCACATCCTCACAATGGTTCCTCCCAATGTCTGAGCCCACTGAGGCCGCCACTGTGTCAAGCCATCTTCCCGAGGGCCTTCCTGTCACCGCCCCTCCACTTTACCAAATACGACGTCCTTCTCCCAGGGCTGCTCTCTCCTGACAACATGCCCAAAGTATGTAAGACGAATATTCAGTGCCCTCTAACCTGTAGCTTGAGATGATTTTGGCCAGGCTTTAAAGCACTGAGTGAGCTCAGTTACCAAAAATGTAGTAGTAATCAATTACACCTACTCCTCACTTAGCCACATAGGTATCTTCCAAAGACCAGCTCATGGTGCAAACGTTGGCATTATTTGAAAATAGAGAGTAACCACATCGTTACAGAACTGTCACATGGCATCATAACTGCCAAATTATACTCATCACATAACTGCCAAGTTCACCATTGCATAACTGCGAAAGCACTGAGATTCACGGCTCAGCCAAGCTGAACCTTAGCCATCACAGCCAGAGACACTTCGGTGTTCATTATTGCCAGACAGAGATCTTTCGTGTCTTTCGTGCACGAGATAGATTTTTTACCATAGCCATAAATGCCTACTGTCAGATAATGAAATCGTTGACAAGGTGTAATGTCCTGGCCTGCCAAGGAAGAATAATGTTGACAGGACCTGAGACGATAATTGCAGGATCTAGAATCTGGAAAGCTGTTTGAGGACTGTTAGGTCAAGTTGTCTAGAGAAACAAATCCAGTGACAGCCATCGATGTAGAGGAATGAGCTTTGTATCAAGAAGTAATCTTATCTCAAGAAGGCATCCAATCCTAGTCCAACTCGAGTTCATACTTCTGATGCAAGTCCATACATCCCTCTTCAGATGCACGTAGCTGCAGGCCAAGTTCACCAGGAAGCAGAAAGATCACTGACCGGTGGTGGAAACATGAAGGCTGCCGACAGGTCTCAAGGTCAGGCGACCACATGGGGCCACCCCTGAAGGCAGGGCTCCAACAAGCAGGTAGGCCAAGTCGCTGAGAGAGAAAGGTTCCCAGTTTCTTCTCAGAAGAGGGGCCACACCTTCAAAAGGCATCGTCAGGCTGTGGCCTGATTAGCAGGATGGACTCCGCCCTACACTTTCATAAGAATTTAAGTTGACGTAAAATCGTCTGAACTACCAGGAAGAGCAAGCTCAGAAAGGGGGAGAAAGGAAAGCCATGAGGGTCAGGGAGATGAGAGGTCATGGGGCATC